CCCCCCCCCCCCCCCTGTCTCTGTCTCTGTGCCCATCCAAATACACACACACACACACAGGGATGGAGCCATCCATAGGTAGTGGTCATCATGATAGTGAAAAAGCAGTCGTATGCCATCTCTCTCTCTCCCTCTCTCTCCCTCCCTCTCTCGCCTATACAGCAAAGCAGGAAAAAAGCCAAGGGACAGTCGCATCTAGTGGAATCTCACATTGCCATCTTGTGTGTCTGTCTGTCTGCTTGTGGGTCGATATGATGATATGTACATTAGAACAAATGAACGAGTGGATGAATGAATGAACGAAGTGCATGTGGGCTTCCAGCCGTGCCGCCCCTCCCTCCCTCCATCCATCCTTGCCCCCATCATGGCTCGTTGACCTGATCCCTCTCGTGCTCAGCAAAGCGCTTCAGCATGGTAGCCTGAACACCACACACACACACACACTCACACACACAGAGAGAGAGAGAGAGAGAGACAAGGAGAGGAAGCCTGCCCGGCTGTGTGCTGGGTGACCGTGTGTGGAACGTACCGGCGGCAGTGCCTTCACGAGCACTTGTTTGGGTGTCTTGTCGCCGCTTGTGTCCTTTGGCGATGGGAAGACGAGAGCAAGGAACGTGATGTCGAACGGGAGGTACGAGTGACACCACGCTATGATCAGCAGCTGGAACACCGACAGCAGATAACCTGACATCCATCCATCCATCCATGTCAGGAATGTGGTGTGCAGGGTTTTTCCCTGCCTACCGAGAACGGATGGCAGCCAGAGGACAACATCTTCGACGAGCAGCCCATACACACTCCAGCAGGCGTTGGTGATGACCATGGCAAGGGAGATGGCGAACGGGATGCCGTCGGACTTGCGCGTTGCCAACACCTCGCCCTACAAGAAAGACGCACAGACGTACCCTCGTGTGTGTTTCGTCATGTAACGGCTCTTCTTTCCTCTCTCCTCCCTGCTCACCAGCTGCAGCACAGGTGTGCCGAAGAGCATGAAGTTGGCGACGAACACACCCACCCCGACTATCCTCTCGTCCGCAAACGAACACATGTAGAATACCACACCCACACCTGACCCAACCAACCGCGGAGAGGAAAAGATGCAGACAGGCATCCATGTATGTGTGTATTCGGGGGTGGAAAGGGGGAGGGTGTGAGGGTGCGACGGGGTAATCGTACCGAGGGCGATAGAGAGTGCGAATCTGTGCCATCGTGAGTTCCTCCTGGTGATGTAGTGGTGGCTCGACAGCCACGTCACTTGCAGCAACACACCTGCCATCCCAAACACATCACATACACGATGATTCGGCCACGGTCACCTCCCCTCCCTCTCACCGATGGTGTTAGTGACGACGACCGGAAGGTTCTGCACCTTCAGCCCATAGTCGATGGCCAGCAGGTTGGCCAGACTCTGCACCACAAACAGCTTCACGGGCAGCGCCTCAGCCGAGTTCTTGCTGATGGCCGTCTTGACCACACCGAACGGAGAGAAGAAGAGCAAAAAGGACGTCACGGGGCACACCACCGCCAGGTACGTCGAGGCGTCCTCGAGCACGTGCGCCGCGTGCGATAGCGCGAAGAGCAGCATCACCGAGGCCATCAGGGTGACGACCGTCGCAAACAGGTTGCTGAGGAGGTAGATGCACTGGGTCAGGAGACTCTTGCGCGGCGGGGGGAGCTTCCCAAGGTTGTAGGAGCTGCTCTTGTGCCCAAGGATGGCCTTCTTCGGGATGAAGTTGTGCCCCTTGTGGGTGGTGCTGCTCCCGCTGCTGCTGCAGGTGCTGCCTCCGTCGGGGGAGGTGGCGTTGTGCGATGACGACGGTTTGGGGAGGGGGAGGGGGGAGGCGTTGCTCTGATGAGAGTTCATCGAGGGCGCTGTTGGCTGTGTTGTCACCATCACCGTTGTTGTTGTTGTCTGAGTTGTTGACATCGCCACGCAAGGGATGCCAATAGAACGCCGAGGAGAGAACGCCGAACGAGGACGACCCTATTGCGAGCTATTCCAGCGTTTCACGTCAATCGCGCCCTTTCCCTCCCCAAGAGTCGAATCAATGCAATTCAAGCAACAGAGGCGGTCACGGTGCTCTTCATGAGCTAAACTGACAACCGGAAGAAGAAAACTTTTCGCGACATGCCCACTCAGTCTGTCCTTCAAATGGCACATTCAACGCGAATGAAGGCCACAGGAGGCGCGTGAAGAGAAAACACTCACTAACGGATATAAAGTGTAGGCAGCGATGACCCGTTGGGCCTCGTCGAGCTCCTGGTACACACACCAACACCAACCGGCGTTCGCCGCGTGTCATGTGGCGTGTGTGTTGTGTGTTCCTGTGTGTTCCTCCCATACCTGTTGGAACTCGCCCGCCGCCGGCTCCCCTGTGCTGTCCTCCATGAAGTAAGGGTGCTGCAACGCTTCAGCGGCTGAACGAAAAAGAAGATACAGAGAGACAGAGAGAGGACGGACGGGCGGATGGATGCGTCTGGCCCTCCTTGACGTCCGACCTGATTGGAACCGATCTGCGGGGTCCGGCGCCAGCAGGCCGCGCATGAGGCTCGCCGCCCTCTCGTCAACGCTTTGGTCAATCGTCAGAAGCTGCAAAAAGGAGAGAAAATACCGCCGATGGATCGCTCATGTCGGTTCCTGTGTGCTGTGCGTGTGTGTGCGTGTGTATACTTGCTCATTCGAAGTCTCCTCGCCAAAAGGATGCTCCCAGTGGAACAGATAATACCTGCAGGCAGACAGACACACATACACCACATGTCGCTGGACAATCTGCTCGGCTCTCTCTCTCTCTCTCTCTGTGTGTGTGTGTGTGTGTGTGTGTGTTCCTCACATGAGGATACCGACATGTCGATGTCGTCATTGAGCCTGAGCTGCCGCTCCGGTGCACGATGCGGCCGAGGGAGGGCTGTGGTGGGCGATAGTGCTGCGGACGAAGCCAGGGGCTTAGCCCAACACTCCCCAACTTGAGGATGTCAGACGCAGCTGCACCACCTCGCGTGCCTGCCACAAGAGAAGAGAGGCGGTATGTACGTACCGCTCCCCGCCCTCTCATTCTGTATCCATCCTACCTACCTGTATCATGGGCCTCAAAGTGAGATGCACCTCCGCTGCTGGGCCCCCCTCTTGCCCCCACCCATTCCCCGCTGCAGGCTCATGCCACCGAACATGCCTTTGTTGAGCAAAGGGTACACCGACACGCCCCAGCCACGCTCCTCGTCGAGCGGCAGGGAGAGCAGGCACTCGTCGGTCTTGACGGTGTGGGCGAGGATGGGCGAGTCCTCGAACAGCCGCGTGAGTGCGGGGGATATGTCGATGGGGCCTCACTGCAACGCTCCCGTGAGGCGACTCTTGGCGGTCTCTGTGTCCACGTAGTTAAGTTGGCGTGATCCTGGTCAGTGGTCAGGTAGATTCCATCTTGCGTGGGGCTTGCAGTGTAGTCGTCCTTTCAAGTGGCACTGGCACATTTGTTCCTGTGGCTTGATTCGTGCAACGCTAAGGAACGCCAGCTTGCCAGAGGGCGCTCGCGAACAGAAAACCCTGACTTACGGATATAAAATGTAGGTAGCGATGACCGCTCCATTGGCCTTCGCCTGCCCCCCTGATGCCGCCATGACCCTCCGTCGCTTCCTCCAGCAACTGATCAGCATGGCCACACCACATCACACCAGACATCCAATGCAATGCACTTGGCCGCCGTGCTGCTGCATTGAACCTCTCGCGTCCAATGGCTGCCTGACTGACCTGAATGGGGTACTATAGGCTGCACAACGACACATACACGCAATAAACACATTGAGCAGATGGATGAGTGTCGGTGCATTCACGAGTGTCGTGAGAGCGTGCAAGGACGTAATGCCCCTACCTGCAGCTCAGCCACCTTCTCCTTCAGCTCGTCAATCTCATCGCACATGTCCCTCTGCACACGGCAACATAACACACAGACAGACAAGTGCGTCAGTTTCACTATGCCTGTCTGCCAGCATCCATGACGTGTTGGCACCCACCGACGACCGAAGGAGCTCCTGGAAGTCGTCATTGAGGTCGTCGTACTGCAACAAAGAGACATTCCACAGAGAGGCACCATGAGCACATACAGTACAAGTGTGTGCCGATGGTGTCTGTCGTGCAGATGTGCGCACCGCACCTTCTGCTGCAACGTGTCCTTGTCAAACTGCACCGCACCAGCCAGTCACATCCATCCACACCACCCACAAGTCAGTGACCCTTTCATGGGTGTGGTGGCCGTGTGTGGTGCCTGTGTTCCCTCCCCTCACCTGCAGCAGCTCCGCCTTCTCCACTAGGGCCTTCTGCGCACACGGACACCAGCAGGAGGAGAGAGCCCATGGACCAGTTCATTCATCGTGACAGCGCTCTGCTTGTGCAAAGGTGGCTGCTCTGCTTACGTGCTCCCTCTTGAGCTTGCGGAGCGTGTCCCGGACGGCCAAGCCGTCCTTCTTGTACCACAGAGTGCGTTCTATCAACACACACAGTTTGCAGGACACAGGCAGGCAACCATATTCGTCTGTCAAACATGCCCGCAACTCATCAGCTTTATTAGTGGAGAAAGGGAGGTCCTAATTACCGTGGTAATAGCTCCTCTCCTCGAGCACCGAGCATATGTCGCTGCCTTTCTTCATCCGAGGGCTCGTGTCGAGGTCTGCAGGCGAATATGTTCCATCCCCCCACCTACCTGCAGCAGCTCCGCCTTCTCCACTAGGGCCTTCTGCACGCACGAACGGACACCAGCAGGAGGAGAGAGCCCATGGACCAGTTCATTCGTCGTGACAGCGCTCTGCTTGTGCATACGTGGCTGCTTACATGCTCCCTCTTGAGCTTCCGGTGGGTGTCCCGGACGCGAATGCCCGACTGCTTGTAGGGGAGGGTGCGTTCTATCAACAGACACAGTTTGCAGGACACAGGCAGGCAACTATTCGTCTATCTTGCCCGCAACTCATTGCTCGTCAGCTCTATTAGTGGAGGAAGGACTTACCGTGGTAGAAGCTGCGCTCCTCGAGGACGTCGCAGATGTCGCTGCCTATGTGGCCCCGACGGCTGCTGTCCAGGTCTGCAGGCGGCACACAGAACAGTGAATGGCAGGCGGACAGACACCCTTGCACAATGAATTGATGATGCGTTGTGCCCTCCTTGGCCGGGGTGGTAGGGGTTCTGATCCGCCGCCTGTGGCAGCAGCGGGGTACTCTAGGCTGCGGAGTGACCCCCTCCTGAACATCACAACGACACACACACACGCCAAAATACATTGAGCAGATGGATGACTGTCGGTTCATTCACGTGTGTCGTGAGAGCATGCAAGGACGTAATGTCCCTACCTGCAGCTCAGCCACCTTCTCCTTCAGCTCGTCAATCTCATCGCACATGTCCCTCTGCACACAGCAACATAACACACAGACAGACAAGTGCGTCAGTTTCACTATGCCTGTCTGCCAGCATCCATGACGTGTTGGCACCCACCGACGACCGAAGAAGCTCCTGGAAGTCGTCATTGAGGTCGTCGTACTGCAACAAAGAGACATTCCACAGAGAGGCACCATGAGCACATACAGTACAAGTGTGTGCCGATGGTGTCTGTCGTGCAGA